GTAACAGATTTTGAAAATGGCATCAGGCGGAGACAGTTTACTGGCGTTGGGTGGTAAACGTACAACGGGTCAGTCAATACGAACCCAGAATGGTGAGTGGTATTAATAATAATAATAATAAATAATATATTGTATATTTATTATAATTATGATAATATTTATATATAATAATAAATAATAATAAATATTAATTTAACTAATAAATTTTGAAGTGATGGCAGCCGCAGCCATAGCGAACATTGTCAAATCGTCATTGGGTCCTGTTGGACTGGACAAAATGCTGGTGGATGATGTGGGGGTAAGTTATTGTTTATTATTATATATTATTATTGTATATATAATTATTATTTATTATTATTGCATAATAATAGTTATTTTTATTGTATATATTATTATTTAATATTATTATAGGATGTAATCGTGACGAACGATGGTGCCACGATATTGAAACAACTTGAAGTGGAGCATCCAGCGGCGAAGGTTCTCGTTGAGTTAGCTCAATTGCAGGATGAGGAGGTTTATTATTATTTATTATTGTATTTATTATTATTGTTATTTATTATTATTATTGTTATTATGTTTATTAATTATTATTGTTATTTATTGTAATTAAAAACAGGTTGGGGATGGTACCACATCGGTAGTGATATTGGCTGCAGAGCTGTTGAAGGCAGCTGACGAGCTGGTGAAACATAAACTACACCCGACTACGGTCATTAATGGGTACAGACTGGCCTGTAAGGAGGCGGTGAGGTACATGCAGGTGGGCGTGGCTTATTTATTTATTATTATGTTATTGTTTTTATTATTTATTATTGTTATTATTATTTATTGTTATTTATTATTGTTATTATTGTTGTTATTTTAGGAGAACCTGTCAATAGGAGTGGAGGAACTGGGCAGGAGCTCGGTGATTGGCGTGGCGCAAACGGCGATGTCATCGAAACTTATTGGGCCGTGGGTTTTTTTATTGTTCTATTAATTAATTAATTAATTATTCATTAATTAATAATGTTATTATTAAATGAACATGTATTATTTATTATGTTTATATGTTATTTATTATTGTAATTGTTAAAGGGATTCGGAATTCTTTTCGGAGATGGTCTACTCGGCAGTGGAGGCAGTTAAGGTGGTGGATCAACACGGAGAGGCGAC